ATACAAATAAAATTGAATTTAATAGAATTTAATTGAAATCTACATATGATTATGCTGTCTTAATACATAAATAAACATATGGATCATTTGACAGTATTTTCTATTATCAGTTATATCTTGGCCAGTCTATCAAAACCTTTAAGTTTTAATGTTACTGGTTGTGGTTCAGATGCATCTTGTCAGGCTTGTGTGCTGGGGTCCATTTTCCCCCATGCCTACCAAGTCCCAGCTTCCCTCACCCCTCACCTCACCCTCTATTCTTCAATATAATATACCTGCACACGTACAAGTCTTAGTCCTTTACATACAGTGTGTAGAAGTATCTCTTTGACAGTTTCTTCCTCGTGTTTCTTTCCTCTTGAGGACATTTGGTTCTAAGGTACATATATAAAAAGGACAAGAACACACACACAAGCACTGAGCCATGTCATGTTAGCCCAGTTGCTAAGGTACAGTAATTGGCTCAGATGTGAGCAGTCAGAACAGGCCTGTGGCGTCACACATAAAAGTCTTCGCCTGTGTGTGTGTGTGTGTGTGCGTGTGAGTGTTTCTGAGCCACTTTCACAGCCATGGATTAAGTTCTGTGCCTGACTAACAAGATTTGTAGTATACTATTTAATTCCACTTCTGTAAAACCAGAATGGTGTGTGTTTTTGTGTGACCCTTTCATGTGGTTGTCATGAGGAGTGAAAACCATTACCCACTCACAGAAAAACGGATCAAACAGCAGTGTGATGTAATGTAATGTCAGTACCATATTCTGTCATGTGTCCTGCAGTGAGAAGGGAGTGGAGGATGAGGAGGACCTGTATGACTGCGTGTATGATGATGAAGATGGAGGAGAAATCTATGAGGACCTGATGAAGACAGAAGCCATTCCTCCTCCGGTCAGTCCAGCTCTCTTTAACTACACTCACATCTTTACTAGGCCTCATTAGTACGGGTGAGAAGATTGATACCACTCTCATGTATGTTAACAAAATATGAATCTTGCAGCTGATTAGCTTAGCCTAGCATAAAGGCTGGAAGCTACTATGACTGTAAGAAGAGATCTGCCTACCAGCGCCTCCAAAACTCACCAATTAACACAATACAGTTGTCTTGTTAGTTTACTAGTGTTCAAAAACTGAAGTGTAAAAGTGACAGTGGTTTTACGGGGGGTTATGCAGGACTATTTCCTGGCCGGGTGCAGTGACTTCCTGGAGTCATGTCATCCCTGTGAATTTGCAGGCAACAAGTGGAGGTAAAACCCCATAAAACTGCAACTTGTTGTTTTTACTCTTTAGTTTTTGTCCATCATTAAGAATGAAAGGGGAAGCAACTACTAAAAAAGTGAAATCAAGGTCAGCACAATAGCATTAGCAAACTCTTGTTTCTTTATTTACATAAATCCCATTCCTTTAACCTAGTTTCACTTCATATTTTCCCCCGAGACATCCACACACCCCCTGCTGTGGCTCTATGCCCCAACAGTTTGAGAACCTCTATAGTAGCAGATACCTTTTAACAGAGTCAGACGAGCTTTTCCTGTCTTGTCTTTGTGCTGGCTGTAGCTTTATATTTGGCATAAAAGCTTTATCTTGGCATTAAAGTCCAGAAAACTCTTTCTTACTGCCGCTTAATGGAGCTTTAAGGTACAAACTTGGTGAAGTTTAACTATTTTAGTGGAAGTGAACAGAAATGAAGAAAGCAGTATCAACATTGATATTCAAGGTGTGTGAGTCTGTGCGCCTTAGAAAATAATTTGTCTGTTTTACAGTTCAGATTAAGCATATAATTTGATTTAGGCTTACACTTGTAAATTTCAGTTTTAATGTTTATTTCACATACACTGTAAATCCCCTTTTGATATTTTATCTGTTTTTGGTCCAAATTGATATTATTTCTCCATTCCGTGCACTATTGAAATGTGCACAGAATGTTGTAACTTAGGGATTTATGAAGTTAATTGTATTTGTAGTCACCTATAAAAAATAATTTGTTCAATACAAAGTGATGATACCTTACACTCTATCATAATTGGCAGACAGTCTAGCTAGCATGTGAGAATCTCTGACCTTGCTCAAAGGGTTGTACAGACTACATCTGCTCAAAGACTCAACAGTTTGTCAGCCCACAGCGCTGACACATAGTAACAGTCCTCTGTGTGTGTGTGTGTGTGTGTGTGTAGGCGTTCCAGAAACAGGCAGAGACTGACATCAGGAGCTGCTGTTTAACAGAAATCAAGCAGACAGAAGAGAAATACACTGAGACCCTGGAGTCTATAGAGAAGGTACTGACTTGTTAAGTAACTTCTCATTGTCAAGGACACAATCATATTACTTTATAATGACATTGTGGTTAAAAATACAATGTTTTGTGCTGGACATTTTGCTGTGTTCTTCTATACTATACACAATGTATGCAGTCGTCTTTGTGCTGTTATCTACTGGTGTCACATGGAAACATGCACAAGTACAAGAGTTTAGATTTTTAGTTTTTTTTTTAAAAGTCACGTGTAAAGCCAAGTGTGGGGTTTGTTTGTTCAATCTTACAAATGATGCTGGTTAGTGTTTCCCAACCTAGTAAAGCAGTGTCTGCATGCGGCTCCTCTTCATAGGCTGAGTATTTTTTATTAGTTTTGAGAAGTTCAACTAAAGTAATTTTCTCCTCTAAACTTTTCAGATTATTTAATTTCAATAAATGTTTACGGCCTGAAGGAGCTATTCAGTATCTTGCATGGAAGAAAAGGCAAAAAAATCTAAATTAGAGTAGCAGAACAATATTTTCCTCTTTCCTGTCACATTAATAAACACACACCCCCTCAGATTCATCTCCTTCCCACTGAGAGAAACACTGGCCTAGATCATCAGCCTTGAGATGATTGAACTAGATAGAGCACGTAGGTCCTCTGTAGTTTTCAAACTGCAGTAAATTGATTGAATTGGTAAAAAAAAACCTCCAAGGAACAAGTGAAAACTATTCTAATAAAGAAAAAATGTATTCATATTTGTTTTCCCCGCTCAGACAGACCCAAATATATCTAAACTGAGGACAGAGTTAGTTTGAGTGACAATCAGTACATTGCCAATATCAGTATCAGAAATAATACAAATTAACAATGACATAAACTGAAAAGTCTCTAAATTGATGTAAGCCCAAATTCAACTGCATTGGTAAAGCATGAAAGCAAAGTTAACTTTGTTAGGGTGAAATAGTCCCACTCCACTGGTTTCATGCTGTAAAAGGATGACAAGAGCACTAGAAATCAATTTGCCCTCCTTATCACTTGCAATATGAGAAGCTGACTGACTGTAATTACCTGTTTTTGGGGTATAATGGAAAAAAATAATGAGTTTTGTAACAAATGTGTACTCCCAGAGAGAAATGAGTGAAAGAATATGTTTTTTATTTTTGAAATTAGTAGTGGGTAATGAATAATCCCAACACTGCTTGACACAAACTGCTCTAAAAGGCCAAAACTATGAGAAAAGCCCTTTTGTGGTGGATGTTTTCCACCTTACCCTGCACTTTTGCTGGACTGTGGGAGGCCAGCCGTCTCTTACCCCCCAGCCACAGCTACTTGTCTTCTCCCTCTTGTGTACGTTCACGTCTGGAAAAAGACCTTGCCAGATTTCCCAGCGGAGTATCTCAGTAGATGACTTTCGATATGAAGTGGATGGTGGAGTTTAGTTTTCGCTCGCCTGCTCCTTTGAGATGTAGAGGTGACTATGCGGCGGGAGTTTTCTGAGAGGAAATCATTAAATTGCAAACTCTGAAAATGAGATTATTGTCGTGACCCAGACAGTCCTCCTTGTTTTTGCTGACTACAGCTCTTTGCAACTTGGCCCCATAATATAATAGCTTCTCACAAAATGACTTTCCCACTCTTACTCTAGAGGGGACGAGCTTCATTCTCTTGCTTTCTCTCTCTCCGCTGCAGCACTTTATGACCCCCCTCAACATGTTTTTATCCATGGCCGAGATGGAAAAGATGTTTGTGAATGTCCCGGTAAGTCATTGTCTTTACTTTTACACTTTACAGTGCAATAATCCAACTGGGTGGTCAACTCGGGGTCACAAAATTCTTTACTGGAGGGCACTTTTCACTCAAGACATTTCATTTCATGTCACAGTAGGAAAAGCACAGGTGTTTTATTTGAAAAACAGCTGTTCATTTAGTATTAAATGTGTATAAAAATACACTGAAATTAGTAGCAAGAGTGAGAGAGTCTTTAGCCATACTAGCGGCTCTGTGAGGCTCTACTTTTAGACACTTGCTTTGAGCTAATGCTAAAGCAGTGCTAATTAGCGCTAAACACAAAGTACAACCAAGGCTGATGGGAATGTCAAGTAATTTGTCATAAACCAAGTTCAAGTTTTTTTTTTTTCAACTTTGAAAACAGGTAAAATTTACAGTTCAAAAAAATATTTTTTTCCACCTGGGAAAACAGAAAACCAAAAATAATCCACAGATTAACTGATAATGAAAATAATCATTGGTTGCAGCCCTAAATGCATTAAAGGATCTTTGCTGTGCTTTGCTGTGTTTCAGGATCTGGTTAAAGTTCACAAATGTTTACTGGTGGAAATCCAAGACTCAGTTCTCCACAGAAGTGCCCAGAACCTTTACCAGATCTTCATCACTTACAAAGAGAGGTACACTGTGGACTTTGTAACCTCTTACAATAGGTTCGGTGACTACAAGAAATGATGGAATAAGGAATAATGTGTCAGTCAGCTCTGTTTCTTTATTTAAGTATTACTTAGGTTTTACACCTAACTCATTAAAAAGGCCTTCACAGTCTTACACAGTCCAAAAGACACTGCTTCCTCTCCAATGCTCTTGCTGTGTCTTCATGTCCCAGGTTGTTGATCTATGGGAAGTATTGCAGCCATGTGGAAACAGCCATCGCTACTCTGGATTACATCTGCAAAGAAAGAGAGGACGTACGCATGAAGCTGGAGGTAAAACCTTTTTAGTGTCGGTAAATGATTGGTTGGAGCCACAGTGACAACTTTACATTCTTCAACATCTCTGAATGGTCAGAGAATGCCCTCAAGTGTGTACCTTAGGCATTGCAGGTGATGATACCTTGACTGACAGCATAAATGATTGTAAAGTTTTCTATTAAGCTCTAATCGCTTGTTGCTTGAGACTCTTAAAAAGTTAAACCAAGCTCTTTTTTGATTGGGCTCCTCTCAAAATCTTTGATAAACACTGCACTGTCACCATCTGGTTTTCATTGTAGAATCTACATATATAATTTAGAGGATAATCTACTGATTGACTTTCTTTGTTGTCTTCTCACAGGAATGTTCAAAGAGAGCCAACTACGGCAAGTTCACACTGAGGGATCTGCTCGTGGTTCCTATGCAACGAGTCCTGAAGTATCACCTCCTCCTGCAGGTACAGTCCTCCAATCTATCTTCTGTTTCTGTTCTACTGTAGTGATAAAGTCAGCATGTCTTCATAGTGTAAAACAATAGCCTTCCAATTCGTACTGCGAATGTTGGAAAAGCAGGTAACTCAGATAGGTATGGATTTGTTTCTCTGGAGTCTGTCTTTTCATCTGTAAACACACACAGGGCATGTTTTATTTATAGCAACATAACTTTATGTACATATCGTTCAGGAAGAAATTGAGGAAAACTGTTGAAAGTGCTGATGTGGGGCTTTGTTTATAGACCATGACATTGTTATGAAAGAATTTTTTAAAACTTTGAATTATAACTATTTCCAGAGATTTACAATGGCATGTGAAGACTTTCAGTGGGAAGAGGCACTTTACTTCTAAATAGGCTGGTATAATAGGATTATGTCTTTCATTTTTGTCATCTGTATAAAAAGTAAAACAATATATTTTCAAACTTGAACTGTTACGTAGTAATAGTTTTAGTTATTATCACTGAAGATTTGTGTGTGTGTGTCTGTTGTATTTTAGGTTTCTGTCAGCGTTATACTTTGTTAAATTGACAAAATAATAAGTCAAACTTGTAGTTGTGTGTGTTTGTGGGGTAAGGACAGTTTAAAGGCTGCTGTACAAAAACTAAAATTAATACATAGTCTGCAAAGATTAACCAAAATTAACATTGGCATCAGATTAATACAGATGTGCCAACGTCATCTCCTGGTTTTGCTGCATGTTCTTGGTGAAAACAGAAATATTAGCATATGGCAATCACTTATGTCCAATAACATTAGAAAATTAAAGAATTACCTACTTTGCTAGACATGTATGCATGGTATTATTTGTCTTCCACAACTAATTATGCACAACGTTGCAGTGATGCTTCATTTAATACAAATTAATACAAATTTGGAGGTGCTTTTATTTTCGCTAGATTGAAAATATTTTACTTTTTACTCCACTACATAAATTGGACAGCTTTAGTTATTAGTTACTTACTGCATTATATATGTATAGTAATACAATGCTTTGAAATGGGTGATTAAGCATAATGAGTACTTTTACTTCTGATACTTTAAGTATATTTTGCTGTTAATTCTTATTTCCTCTTCACTTAAGTAAAACTTTGAAAGCAGGGTTGTTGTTTTTTTTTTTTACTTATAATGGAATCTTAAGTAGAGGATCTCAGGACTACTTTTCTAATACTTTTCTATCACCATATATTTTCATCACAACTCTTAACAGCTGTATATAATGTCCTTCACTGTCATTGTAAGCGATCAGAGGACAGAAACTTCAAGTTAAAAGTCTTCACTGACTTTATAATGACTGTCTGTCAGAGTGACAGAGGCCCATCTGTGAGGATTTGACTCTCTTTATGAGAGAGAGGGCTCGCTGTCACTAGGTGGTGCTGTTGGTCATGTTTCCTTCTCCTCCTCTGCCGTCGTCCTTCAGGCTCCTGTCGTCTATTTCTGTAGCCTCTTTATGACGCTCAGTCTGAAATGACCTGCACATAATTGTCATCTGATCGAGACAATCAAGAGAGAGAAAATAGATTGATTGAACTGAAAGAGAAAGAAGCAGACAGAGCAAGACAAACAACTAAAGAGAGACAGGCAGAGAGGTGAAGTATTTTTGAAGTGGTTTGTGGAGAGTGAGGGTGTGGAAACCCAGGACAAAGTCAGTGAGAAGTTATCGACATGTCACTGACGGTAGATGTAAATGATTTTTAAATAGAACAAATATGCTTACTTTAGGAGTAAACAATACGTATATGTGTGTGTATCAGTATGTGTGCGAGCATGTCCTTTTAGTCTACACACACTATATACAATTCTCCCACAGGGTAAGTCAGCAAGGTTGAAGGTGTTCTGTGTTTAATGCACATGTGGGTTTGCTGATGTACAGTACATTAATGAAAAGAGAAGCAGCAGCTTTTTTTCTGGTGAAAAGATGTACAATTAGCTATTCAGTTGCTTCCATACTGTAGCCATATACCTATTTGTGAGGCACATAATTTGCAGTATTCATTCTAGATTACAGGGATTCAGTGCATTTAATATGAGTATCAGAGGGTTCATTTCCTTCACTAATGACTGACACACGTGTTGTCTGCACTCTTCAATGAATCCAGAACAATTTGTCAGACCAATAATACATAGTAGAGGACATGCATTTTGTATTCTTTCACATTAAAGTGTTCATATATAGTTTCTCAGCTTTTACTTGTTACCTTCAGAAATGAGCTGATTCCACAAGCGTTTTTAATAAAAAGCCCCAGAATAGGCTCTCTGAAACCCCTCACCCTCCTCCTGTTTACGTGCAACACAAATGGCCAACCAAAAGAGAAGAAAACCTGTAGGAACAAAGTGATTGCGTTGTGTCAACATGGACCGAGATCCCTGTGGAACAGCCGGGTAATAGCAGGCTGCACTGAATAAAGCATCCACTGAGTTACTTTCCCACATGGCGACAGCCAGAATCTGTACAACTAATGTCTTGTCACTTCCCCTCGTTCCCCGAGTTCCTCTCTCTTGCCGTTTCTTTCTTTCTCTCTTTTTTTGTCATTAATCTTTCTCTCTTTCTTCCTCACTGCCTCCGCTCGTCATTTCTCTTCCTCCCCTGAACACATCACGACACGATTCCTTCAATGAGTCCATCATGTATGGTCCTGGCTATCAATGTGACCACTCCCTTCCTCTGTATCTCTGGAGGTGTGGAGGTGGGAGCAGGGCTTGATAAATAGGACTCTGCCGTCTTGCTACTGATAATAATGCCCAGGTTGAGCTTGACTGACACCAGGGATTTGAGCAGTGCCAAGCAGACATATATATCTCCCTTAGCGGCTCAGTGTGTGTGTGTGTGTGTGGACACAGTTTGTATGGGCCTGTATGAAGGACATGCATGGCATCCTTCCTTATCCTCCACTGCTGAGGTCTAGATGTCTTGTTTACGCTGCAGCCAGGCAGAGGCAAGCAATTTTAGATACACACGTGCACACACATAAGCCTGCAATACATGAGTGCACACACACACACACACATACACACACACATCTGATTTATTTCAAGGCAGGATTTTATATAGCAGTAACCTTTTTCATTTCCTATCAAGAGTGAAAGCATTGTGTTCTCATGTGTAGGATGTGGCCTTAGTGTATGTAGTGCAACTGGATAACAATATTCATGAATATAACATTAAATATTTCTTTCATGAGCCTAGGCTCACTGTAATTTTCTGAAAGAGGTATTATCCTAGGACACTTGCTTACACCTCTTTTGTGTGTGTGGTTTATTTCTGTCCAATAGGAGTTGGTGAAACACACTCATGATGCCGCGGAGAAGACCAATTTGCGGATGGCATTGGATGCCATGAAGGTACATCATCGGTTTATCCAGTTTATTTTTCCGCACACTCTAATCCCAGCATGCACCGAGTGGCAGGTCCATCCCAAGCTAAATACACAAACATATTCACAGCCACTCTTGGTTTCATGTCCAAAGTATTTTTCTCTAATGTTACATATATAAAAAAACACCTTTGTTATTATTGATTGGCTCAACAGAAAAAAAAGAAAAGAAAAAAAAAACAGCAAATTTTCTTCATTAGGACTGTGTGGGTTTGGTTTCATCAAATTTGATTGACAGTGGACTGTCAACTCAGCAAACAACCCCACAACGAGAGCAACACAGGTATATATAGAAAAAAATATAGAGATATAGAAATCTCTCAAGTAAAATAACAAAAACAGTTGCCAGTGTCTGAATTCTTTCCAAAAAGGACGGAAGACTGGCATTACAGCAATGAGTCCTTGCAATATATTACACATCATAATTCAATGAAGTCTGGTTGAAAGTGAACAATGCTGAATATGGTTACCAGTATTATTTTGGCCCACATTCACCATGGTATTAATTACTTAGGATTGCCTTGATGACGTCAGATTTCATTTCATATATCCAAACATTCAAATCATTTATAGGACCCCATCAAATATAGTAAGAAGTTAATTGAGAAAATTGTTTTTTAGGGCCATTAAATGGATGCATTATTGTTTTGTGGATTGTTGGTTAACTTAATACCAAGGTACTTCCTTCATTTAGGCATTGTTTATCATTAACCATGTCTCAGCCTGCTATGAACGCTTGTGTGGGCTCACAAGCTACCACGTTCATGTCTGAAAAGAAATATTACACTTCATTGCAAGTCATTGCACAACTTTTGACTACACATAAATAAATGAGTCTTCCACTGAATGCATCATTTATAACTCCTGCTTATTTTGTAACACTCAAGGGCTGTCCAATTGAAAGCTGAGAGTCCTGTCCCTAGTCAAGTCAAGTTTATTTGTAAAGCCGAGGATCGCATACAGTCTCTCATTGGAGTTTACAAGCCCACATCAACAATGGTTACTTTTGAAGAAAAAAGAAAATACGTAGCACATAAAAGGAAAAAGGGAGACCTCAGAAAGTGCGAATTGCTGAGGTGCTACACTGTACTAGCTATTAAAATGTTTAGTCTGAATGAAGCTAAATTCAAAAGAGATGCTTTATTGTTTTCTGATTTGTCTGCAGGACTTGGCTCAGTATGTTAATGAAGTCAAGAGGGATAATGAGACGTTGCGAGAAATAGATCAGTATCAGAGATCCATCGAAAACCTGGTAAGCCACCTGTTTCTTCCAAATAACTGATCTTAACCTCATGGTACTTTGTAAATGTTTTATTCCTGTCACCTTTCTTTCTTTTTCCTTAGAACCAGCCTCTGAGTAACTACGGGAGACCCAAAGGTGACGGGGAGGTACGGGTGGCCTCTGTGGACAAACGGGCTAAACAAGACAGGTGAGATGTCAGGTTGACGCGGCGGTTGGCTCAAACACTGATTGACTGATTGCAGCTTAACTAGAGTCAGGTACAGTGGTTGGAAAACTGCCAGAGTTTATATTGCTTTAAGCCAAAGTGCTGCTAGAAACTCAACCTGCGTGCCTTGTAAGTTAAGAACAAAATCAAGTGACCAGTAATTGCTGGTGAATGACACCACAATCAATAAATACATGGTGCATGTCACATTTTTGGCATTCAGCCAATGCGAATGTCCTGAAGGATCCTAGCCAGTAATACGTTTTGTAGCTTATTTTTTCTCTCACCTGTACAATAAACTACTTCTACAAACACATTTGTGTGTCCGGTACAATTCCATCTTTTTTTAAAGCCACAGTATGCAGTTAGGGTTAGTCCTACCCTTCTTCTGTACACTTGTCACCTACCGTGATTAGCTGTCTACTGTCTTAAAACAACAGGTAGTTATAGTTTCAGTTTGAGGTCATCCATATCTGTAGGGCTATCACAGCGACTGGAGAGGCAGACACACACAGAATATGCTCAAACACAGGTCCCAAACTTTGTTTAAACTTAAGTTTCAGGTAAGAAGGTATTTAGTTATGACCACACTTAGGGCTGATAATATATAATAAATCATATGTATTACTTTTATTATTTCAGGAATAGTGCATATTTCAGCTTGAAGTTACAGAGAATACAGTGGACAGATGAACAGGAAAATATCAACTCGTGCATCAAGGTTGATTTACTCTTTAAACCACAGGCACATCTTTGTGTTCGATGCGGCGGTGATCATATGTAAGCGTCGAGGGGACAACTACGAGATGAGAGAGGTGATCGACCTGCAACTCTTCAAGATCACCAACAACCCCACGTCGGACAAGGAGAACCGAAAGGTCTGCACACACACACGGATATGGTTTCTATTGAGACTCAGCCCTGTTGTTTTATTGCACTGTAGCATCCTATGCTGACTCTGGCCATTTTTTCCTTCTTGACAAGAATAGATATTTGGAGAAAAATGATTTTAGTGGCGACAGCAATCACCATGAGGCTGTCAACAGAATTTTTTTTTTACGGCAGACATTTTGACTTTAAAGCACCAGGGCAACTGGCAGCATTAATGATGGCTCTGTTTTCTGGGCATCTTCATAGACATGGCTGCATTATATTTAACTGTTTCTGAAGCCACTATTAATTAATGTTATTTATCAAACCTGTGTAAATGTCCACTGTAAGAAATGTATGAGTGACTGGCAGCAGTGTTTGGAACACCTGCCTGTACACCATGAGCTGTAAAAACAGGCAGAATCAGACAGGAATCACACATTTGGGATAGTCTTAAAAGATTTTCACAGCTGTATCACTGAATTTTACAGATGTACGACATCAGAGAAATAAATAACACTACAGTATTCAATCAGAAAAAGAAAAAAAATTCACAACTTTGGGTGGTGGAACTGTTGTATTGTATTGTATTGTACAACATGGCCAGGTTTGATCCCCCCCAGACTGCACATGAGTAGGTCTCCCAAGTGATTTCTTCCTCCTTGGCATGTACTTTGGCAGATACATGTTTTTCAAGTTTCAGATCTGGCCATCACCTTGGAAAAGATATTGGCACGTCCTTCAGTCATTTCAGATTTTTTTCTTTTCTGTTTTTTGGCAGCAACACTCTCTCTTTGTGAACATTTCTCTTTCGGTAACCCACTTCCACTTTTGGTGAGGACACAGTGATGATTTGCATCAGACATGCAGAAAGAATTAGCCTCAATTAAATCAGTCAGAAAGAAATGTAGCAGGTAGCTTCTTTCTGCCAGGCTTGCACACCACATTTATTGGTCATATTTGCAAAAAAATATCGAAGCATGTTTTTCTTCTTTATTGTGCTTCACACTAAAATGAGACCATTCAACAATGAAAACAAGGGCTTTGAATTTTAATCCATGAAAAAATTCCCAAGTAATTCCGGAAGCCAATTAGTTTATTTCTATACAGTTAACACTTCTTAGTCCAGATATGTCACAGCTCAGAGGAAAGCGTGACTCACACGTCTAATTTTATTGTTTTTGCTTAATAAGGAAGCTTTATTTCCTCGGGTCTGATTGGTGGCGTCATTTTGAATCCACACTGATTCAATTCTCAGTCTGAAAGAGAAAAAATGTCTTGAGCATTTAGCTTTTAATTTTATGGTGTGTTATCACCATTTTCAAAAAGCAATAACCCACTTTAAGCTGTGATTTACAGTGATTTTATAATAGCTACTGTAAAACAGCTTTTGATGACATTTAATTTCACCCGAGGCTGTATGCCATGTTCTTCCTAATAGGGGTAGAACAATATAGTGAGCATATTCTGCTTTCTACTTTCACGTTTTCTCTGTTGCTGTAATATACAGTGCAAAAATAATAGCAGCATGTACTTCTTAACATTCTGTAAAATAAAAAGAACAAAGCAAGCATCTCATATAACCACCAATCAGCTATAATGGAGGGAAGTCTTGCACTGTTGAGTCCATTATTGCCTCTTTATGACTGAGTCAGCAACACTCAGAAACCATGTTGGACTCCTGACAAACCAATTAACAGCGCTACTTCAACATAATGAGCAGCAATAACAATTTATCAGATAAACGCAGGTTCATAAAATTGAGTAAAAATCAAGTTAAGTCGCTTCTTGACAGTATTTTATAAACACCTGTACCAATCTCCACACCCCGCTGATGCCGTTTGTGCTCCGAGTCCCCTAGTGTGCTGCTAAAGTGAACTGCATGCGAAAAATGTTCTAGCTCGTAACACAGACAACAAAATAATCAACAGAAAAGAGTCTTAAATAATTTGGTGTATGCTTGTTCCAGCACATGTTTTACACTGTCTTGTTCATTTACCAGCGTAATACTTAAACAGTGTCAGTCTAGAACAGTCTGCCTCCTCCCAGATGGTGTTATCATTAAACCTCGCTTTGGGCCTGACAGCATACACACACACACACACACACACACACACACACACACACACACACACACAACACACACACACACACACACAAACCACACATACGTACACACAGTGAATACTAAGTGCCAAATGGTGAAAAATATTGCCAATCATAATGAGGAATGATATCTAAGGCGAGCCAGGAAACAATGATTTGGGCAATAATGATGTTGTAAATAGCAGACATTAGTAGGCTTAGACCCATATGGGTTTATATAGTTGTTGTTTTTTATGAAAGTTTCAGCTACCTCAGTGTCATTCACCTCTAAAATGATGGATATGATGCAGTTTGTTCGATGACAAATTTGTTATGTAAATGCCGACGATGACAGTGGCTGTCTGAGGGAAGCAGTAATAAGAACCTTCATCACAGAAGCAAAATAATCACATTTGCATGTGACATCTGGAGGTAGAGTCAGATAACCTTAAAGTCTAATCATTTCTAAAGTGATATACACAGTAGTAGAAAACATTTGTGCAACCATTGGAATTAAGCCATTTTTCATGCTAAAACTGATGATTTAATGCAAGAAGTGATAAAATGAAAGTTTCACATGCATTTCAACTGTTAGATCTGCTATAATCAATATTTGTAATTGTTTAGGTGTCACACATAGTGACGTACCGAGTTCCACTCACTGCATGAAGCATTTTAGCATCTTTCAGCTCATTGTTTTGTTTTCCAGCCTGCAACTATACTTCACATTGTATAAGTAGTGGTTGTTTCCAGCAAAGAAAATGCTCACAAATGCTGTTCTATGTCTGCTGGATGTGTAGACAGGCAGCTGTATGCTAACAAGTTAAGGAGCCATATCTACATAAAAGGTATATGTCAGAATTGTGTTGGACAGCTTGTTTCTGCTGCCTCCAAGTTACAAAAAAACCCAGCTGTTGCAGGTTTAATGTCTAAAATAAGGGTTTCACTCATGGAGAATCCTATTTTAGGGAATTTAACAAAGAAATACTTTACATTATCCGTCTAAACCTGCAATCCTTTTAAATGCTAAAGATAAGCCAAAAAAAAAAAAAAAAGAAAAGACCAAAACTGACAGAAAGACAGACAGACAAACACCTTCTCCTTCTCTTTACAAATTGGTAGCTTGAGATATCTTTGCTGAGCAGAAGTCTTGGTGTCCACTGGGAATGCCTCTGTAGAGCGCTGCTTTCCTTTTCTCTTTCCTTTCAATAGAAAAGATGAGCTTCCCTGACAGCACTGTGAGCTTGGCATGTTTCTAGCCTTCAGAGCTGAGTGCTATAAGTTCAAAACCACAACTAGGAGCCACAAAAAGTGCATCTCACAAGCATCTGTTTAGTGATGCTATCCAAAAAACAGAGGCATGTGTTGACACAGAGCCTAATAGACAAATATTTAGCCTTTGAAGTGGGTAATGGTAGATGATTACAGGCCCACTCACTACGTGGGTCTGTGCATGCTGTCTGATGCCCAGCAGTTATGTGGCACAGCTACCTCACACTCTTTTCCTCTTCTCCTTCATGTTCTTCCTTTCTGTTTTGTCTCTGTCTGTCAGTTGTGCCACCCTCCAACCCTTTCAGCCTTTGTGTTTGCTCTCCCTGAGGCTTCCCTCTTTCATTTTGCATTTCTTTGTCTCCATCTGTCTCCCTGCATCCTGTCTCCTTCAGCTCCTGCCCCCCCTCCTGCTCCATTTGTCCTTCACACAAACCCTCCATTTATTTATTCGCTGTCATTTTATTTTCTCAAATGTGTGTGTTTTTTCTCTCCCGTTGCAGTGGTCCTACGGATTCTACCTCACTCATAACCATGGCCAGAGCGGCTTTGAATTCTTCTTCAAGACCAAAGAGCTGAAAAAGAAGTGGCTGGAGCAGTTTGGCATGGCCATGTGAGTGTGTTTTGTCTGTGTGTGTGTGTGCGCGAGTGCATTCATGTGTGACAGTGTGATGAGAGCCTGTGTCTCCTTGCTTCAGCTGCATTGCATCGCAGGATCAAAGCACACACATTGCCCTTCCTGTTATTCAAGTTAGGCTACTCGATGATTTATGAGGGACACGAGACATGAAACCAGAAGCTGACTGAAAATGCACTAAAAGGGCATCATGGTTTCTTAAGCTCATAAATGAGTAGCTTTGTCAAAATAGTCGTATTTTTGGTATTTAGCACTTTATACTCAGAGAACACAATTGGTTAAATGTAATGCCAGCACCAGGTCTTTGCAGTTAAACTACATCAACCAGTCTACATCCTGAAATGGATCCAAATTCAACTACACTGACAAACTGGTGCCAAGAGTGACAAATGGAACTGTAGTATTTCACTTGAAGAGCCAAAAACAATGAACTGACTAACCCTTTAACCCTTTAATGCCAATACCTCCCCTTTTTTATTGCACAAAATTAAATGTTTTCAGTGTAAAGCCAAAGAAACCATCATGGCACAGCAAACTCCACACCAAGAATAGCAATAACTAATATCACTGAATCTGTTCAAGATGTGTCAATAGAGTGATTTCAGACTAAAATCTTCTCATATATGTGATCAGAAAAAACACATCCTGTCTATTGTATCTGATGGGGTAGACAATAAATAGACAATATCAGCAAACTTAGATGTGTTCCAATCTGCATTCAAGTACATGACAATAACACAGGCATAGTAGATCCTTTACACTATCTCATGCACAACCCCTTCTGATGATCATTCTTGTTCTTATGACAAATCAAAATCCTCCCAGTCCTCCTTTGTCGACTTTAGTTTGAGCTGAGACACCTGTTATTGGATTAAGTTATCATTATCCGCCAGTGACTGTCAAGAAATGAATTAAGATCAGTGGCACTCTCAAGCAGGTGCAAATACATTGAAAATATAGAAATAACAAACTGAGGGAAAAAAGGGAATAATGAAAAGAAAAATCTGCGAAATAACATTTTCAAGCTCCAAAGGAAAGCAACAGGCCTTAACAGGAAGTAAAGAAGAGGATGTGGCGGTTTGATGTGTGAAAACAGGGGCTTTTGGGGCTGAATTAATGAGCTACGAGAATAGAGAACCGTTGCCAGACAATCACGTTCCCAGAGCGACGCTCAATAGCCGATCCGTGAACAGTTGTTTTCTCACGTGCCGCCTTTATTTCTGAATCACACACTGTTTCCTACTTACTACTAAAATTCAGCAGCCACAACGGGTAGGTAGACACACTGATCCACAAACAGAAAGCGAGAAATTAAAGACAAACTGTTGCTTAGACAGCAGGGAGCGAGCACACTTTGAAAGTCAGAAGAAGACTGTAAATGAAGTCATACTCTATTTCTGAGTTTTAAATTCCTTAAAATTCAAGCGTCTACCTCTCAGCGCAAGTTTGGACCGAATCAAAGTTGCATCGGACAGCTTTAAAAGCATCAGTACACATGAGATGTGGAACTGGAAGAGGCCAGTCATACTCTCAAAGTCAAGCTGAAAGAAAGAGGAAGCTCAGGGGGTTTTTATTAAGGTTGTTTTTTGTTCTAAACATGCCATAGGAATGTATTCTGTATCTTTCAGTGTGATTATTTTTATGGTAAAAGTGGACCCTCTTTCTTGTCAGTGGTATGCAATTTCTAGTTAATATTAGTCTTCAGTAAAAAGTGGATATATTGGTTGACCCCCAGTACAGAGGAGAGGACACCACAGATGTTCTCTTCTCTGATAGTTTCTTCCATCTCAGCGCTGTTTGTCCTATATTCCAGAGAAGATGCTGTAGCACTTCAGTTTGACTAATTATTTTAGTTTTTTGAGAAGTAGCACCTGTGCATATTAAATAAAAAGCTTATGCAACAGTGTCATCATATCAAGCTGCCGAAAGAGTGAAAAACAGAGGAAGACCTCTTAAACTTAAAATAAACAGGCCTTTGTGCTACAGGCAAACTTGAGCTCTTTCTCTTTCTCTCTCTCACACACACGCACATGCATCCATATCCCAAGGGGCCAAGAACACTTCTGTGTTCACTTCAAGCAGACCTTGTCTGTCTACTTGCAATTCTCTCCTTCCCACTTCAAAGAACTGTATCAGTGAAATGTTACTGTTGCCATGGAAGAGAGTTTGTTGGCTGCAATTATAAGTGAAAACTTTTATTTCGCTATGAAATTGACGGTTTCATCAAAGACCAAAGCTGCTGGTAAACTGTAACAAAATGGACAACAAGCACAAACGCATTTTCATTTATTGATTTGGGCCCATTTGCAACTTCTTGCACAACTTACAACTCTTCCATTATTTTTTTGAGAGGTGTTCAGGGGCACTTACAGTAGTTACAGAACAGTACATATTAGTAGTACAATATTGTCAATGTTCACCTGTATGTGCTAATAGGAGCTTTAAATGCTGGTTGTGAATATTCTTTATTGTGAACCCCAGATATTGAGACCGTCGTGTAATGCTTTTTTATTTAGTATCACAAGTCACATTATCATCATGTAGTAATGCAGAGACATAAACAGAGACTACATTGAAAAACTCAGTGGTGCATTCAAAGGCACTCCAACACTTGCGATTTAGCTGACACGGATCTGATTTTCCCACATCGTTTAGCAAGCCCATCAAAATTAAAACATGTGACGCAAATCTTCTCCACTACACAAAGCTTTATTCCCTAAACTTGGTGATATTAAATATACCAAACATAATCTTTTTGTTCGATTACTAAGTCATATTTGCACTTAATGAATACATAATTTTTGATGAGAAATGTAGATCGCCATAAATATGTGTATAATATTAACATTTTTCAGAATATTCTTTAGCAAATACAATCATTCTTCTTAACCTGTCAGTGAGTAAAATAATATACTAAGAAGATGGTTATAATATTATATGTTTTATATTTATGGTCCTTTATATATGGGGAGGATAATGTTCATGTGTATATTTAGTATCTACAGTGATCTATAAGTCACATGACTGATCAATGGATCAAAGTGAACTATAATTTGCAGAAATTACACGCAAAATAGGACAACAGTCCTATGTAAAACCAACAGTCTGGTTCTTGGTGTTTGGTTCCAGGTTTGAAGGGAGGTTGGTAGGTTTACCTTACTTGGTCAGACATTACATTACATTTCAGAGGTACTTCAGTGATTACTCTAGAATCACCAGTTCATATCGTACATTTTTCATGGATCTAATGTTTGTCTGCGTCTTGTTTAGATCCAACATTCGTCCTGAGAATGCCACCAACAACTTCCATGAGTTTCATATGCACACCTTTGAAAGGATTACCTCCTGCAACTCCTGCCACATGCTGCTGAGGTGAGAGGCCAGTTATTATTCACACACACGCACGCTTACACACACACACACAGTGGAAGCAGCAAAAAAATCTCTTCAAGGCTATCGTCAAGCATAAAGGCTGAGGACAAGACGTGGACCCTTTCCCTTCAAACAACTGTCAGGACTCCTTTGAAAGGCCTCCACTCCTCCTATTCCTCTCCAGTGTACCCTAACAATCTATTCGTCACTTTCCCTTTTACTCCTCTCTTCCTTTGCACATGTGCCTTCGTTACACAAAGTTTCTTTTGAATTTCCTGAATGGTATCGGCACCCAGAGGACTGCGCCTCATGGTTTTTCTCACATCGGGAACGACTGAGTGGTTTCACCTACTGAGGACGGGAAAGAAAAATGTCTGTCACACTTCAGCACTTCTTCAAGGCGATGGATGGGGAAAGGGGACAAGGTTATTGCACTGTGAATATACAGAGCCGGGTCCTGAATTCACCAACATTTTTCACAGGATAAGATATGAGAAAAACAAGAATAATGCAGGGAAGGTCTCAAGAAGCATCTGATGGGCAGTGTTTCATTATTTTCTTATGGATTTTGCTATTTTGTTGATGATTTCTCAAGTTTTTTTCTTAAATAATGGTTGGTCCTTTGGACTGTCTCATTATGACTATTGTCCTAGAGCTCTCTGTTTGCAGTACCTGTTGAAGAACATTTGATTAACTTGTGAAGGCACAAGAGATATCAAATTACTTTAAGAATTGTGAGTCTAATGAGTCAAGTGTTATGTGATTTTAAGAGGTATATGACCTTTTTTAAACCTTAAGCAAAAAGGAATTTGCAAATCTCACTGTTCTTAGTGTATGTCTTAGAAGGAAGTTATGAAAACACCAGATCTTCTACGTCTAATCTAATCTAATATCCAGTGTATTATACTAGTATTAAAATTAAACGCATTCAGAAGGTAGTGCTTTATGAAGAGCTTTGGCCTAGTTTAGGCATTGTGTCATTAATCAGAAAACACCATGCATAGAATTATTCAGTAAAGTGTCTTGTAGAAATGTTCTCTTAAGTCTTAATTTGAATCTCAGGCAATGGAGGAGAAATGTGAAGGTTTCATACGCGTGGTGTCTTGTTGGTTTAAATTCACATGTTCA